CCCCATAGAAAAGAGAAGGCCGAGGCACAAAAGGATGTTTCGGCAGACAAAGAGAGTGAGCTTGATGAACGAATTCGGAAAATCCAAGAAAAAAATGCAGAAATTCTCCGTCGAAAGCAGGAGATAGAGGCAGACAAGAAAAAATATGGCTGAGAAGTGAAAATATGAATCAGTCATTTTTTTTGCGATTGCTGTTAAATTATTATGTGATTTTGTTCATAGTGAGTATCGAGAGATGAGCTAATTGACAAAAGACCAAAATGTTATCCAGTTTATATGAAATGTGCTGATTTATGCTGAGAAAAATACCTGGTTAAAGTTTACCACTATTTGTCAGGTTAATAGTGCACTAAAAATAACAATAACTGTTTTGAAAATGGTGGAATATGTAGGGGGTCTTTGTGAAATAAAACCTTGACAAACTCCATAGCCATTCAGTGGCTTTTTATGTATTTTGAGTAACATTAAATGTGCAAAAGAACACGCACACACAACCACGGATTGCCTTTAATTCTAGCAGGATATCTGCCCACTGTTGACTTGTCCTTTTCAGTTCAATTTAATTTCAGTCCACCTTGTAACCTTTTGCAGTGCCACAAGTTTTGTAGGTATGTAATAAATGAAACAAACCTCAGGTCTAAAGCCAATTACGTGATTTATTGCGTGTTGTTTTGGCATCCTACACTTGGTGAAACGCAAATTACCATCTGCTCAGTCACTGATGGTGATTTCAATGCAGAATATTGCTCAATAACTAATCCAGTCTTTATGGTACTGTTGTTGACATTGCCAATTTTTGGCCAATAACTTTAAAAACACTGCTTATATGAAAAAATCTCATGTGTTACAAGGAGATGTCAGAAGGTGTTGATATTGTAATATAAATCAAATACAGAAAATATTTCTTAATGTATAAAGATCTGTAAAAAGTATCACTGAAATGAAGCCATGTTTAGGTATTTTCCTTGTGTTCGTGGCGCTTTAGCAATCAGTTTTTACTTGTACATGTTTCACATGTAAATATATGTGTGTGTAATAAATAGGTTCCCTTTTTCCACAATGAACTTGTTTCATACCTTGCTATTGCAGAAGTTCTACTGCTGTGTATTGTATGTATGACCTGTGAGTGCACAGACTACATTGTATAAAAACTACATTTATTATATAAATAAGTGTACAGTACTGTATTGAAAATTTCTAGTGTGCCATTATGTTTCGATAAACAACATGCAAATCCTATATGTTATATGCTAGTGGGCTTATGGTACTACCAATTAGCACACAACCACACAAACTTACATACCCTGAGTTAATGAATAGTGTACATATGCGACTACATCTGCTTTGACCAATTAACCGTCGACACCCAGTGCATTATGTGTGCATTGTGTAACTTTCTAGAGACGTTCACAAATCAGACTTTCACGCAGTCATTGTATTAATCTCGCATACTAACAAAACATTTCCCATGTTTAAAGTAGTTTGCATTTATGTCTACCCAGTAACCCATTTGTGCATAGTGTAAATGATTTTATAAATTTGTTCATATCTGACCTTTATATTTCAGCTTGTACCTCAGTCCCCATTGAGTTAGATATGTGCCAGACATGCTGTTAATTACTTTTTATAAATTTCGATTTAAAGCTTTCGTGACTGCAGGGATTCATCTTCTTGGTTCTTTCGGTAAAGTCACGTAGAAGGGAAATACTATTGTATTATGTTTTATTTCCCTTCTACGTGACTTTACCGAAAGAACCAAGAAGATACTTTTTATAACTTTCTTGGAGCAAGTGGTTAACCTCTACTGGGTCTCAATGGAAAGATAGCTGAATTACTGACTTAAGGGAAGATGAAAGTGGATGTTTACAGAGCCAACAAGAATAAGTAATGTCCCTTGTTTACAAAGGTAACGCTGAGATTGTAAAGTCATGCTTTACATATAGCAGGAACAATAATAGTTTATTGCCTTTTGCCTAAGGCCATTTTTTATTAAGAATAATAAAATGATACTTGAATGGATGTTACTTAATTTAAAACCGAGAGTGCACCAATGTAGTCAACAGCAATCATGGTGTTAATATATAGTATTGTACATACTGATGTATAGGATGTTGAGAATATGAAATCGATGTTTGACGTTGCCACAATGTATGATTCATTTTGATCAGATTTATCTTGCCAAGGGATGCATGAAATATTACAGTATGGTTTTAAATTCACAATGGTAGTCCTAATTGGTTATTGTGGCTTATTAACGTGCACTAAAATATGGAACCATTGCAAGTATATGCGGTGGGATTGGCATTTCAAGATCCCAACAGTTAGACGTGGGGAATTAAGATCCACACTGGATAGTAGTATTTTTGTAGAAAATTGTAAACCCAGCAAGAGGTAATTTGATTCTTAGCAAGCACGTGAGTTGTGGGATCTGATATGTATGGCTATGGCAGTACAAGTATTTGAGTTTACACATCATATAGTCTTTAAGGCACTTAGGTAATACAGCATGGTTATCTTTACATGCTATGATAACTGATGCTAAAATAGCACTTAGAGTTTAATTTGCAAGTAAAAGCTATTTGTTAACTAAGTTTGATAAATATGCAATAACGCTGGTGGTGAAATCATGGTGTGTTCTAGACATCTGTCTAATATGTACAGTCAAAATATCAATACAGTAAACAGTAAACAAATAACTGCATTTTTTTAACGCCAGAACATTTGGAATATTCTCAAAAAAATGCGTGAAGTTTTCTCCTTTTAAAATAAAATAAAAGTCCGATGCTAAGAAATGTTAATTTAGCTAAGCTAATTCATTAACACTGCCACAAGCAATTAAATAACAAAACAAGGCTACCTTCCAAATATAGGTCTCGGTGGACAATGCTATTCATAATTTAGCCACAATTAAGTTCAATAACTAAAGTAAAATACATTCGGCACAAAGTTAAATACAATTTTCACGGTCTGAAAATTGTGATAATGCATATGTATACCAATTAAGTACAATATACGCCACGTGTATAGTTTCATAATCCCTCGGGTCCATTTCCTTTTCGCAATTTAACGAAACCACTACAAAAAGTGCATAAAAAAACGATGCTAAAACATTGTTCTATTTCAAATCTCCATATTCATACGTGTTGCCAGGGTGACAAACACCACAGACTATTGATACCTATACACACCGACCCAGCAAAATCACGTGCTACATAGAGGTGAAGGAAGGTATATTGTCTATTCTTCAAACTGAGCTGTTTTTTCTCGTGTTCCACAATGAGCAGGATGTTAGGCATGCATAGTGAACAGCGTGCCGAGTGATGACGGAGTGCAAATAAGGGTTACAGTTTCACACATTGGCTTTCGCGACCAATATCTATAATAGACGTTTGGGTTCGATCGCGGAGATGCATTCATTGACCCCCCTTTGGCCTTCGTACCTGACTGGCTCACAAGTGATAACATCACACTTATCCCTCTAAGAACGAAACAGGAGGGTGTATCCACAACTCTGGCTGTCGCCTGATGATGCTGGTTGTAATTACTGGCGAAACGTCTTACTCCAATTGTAAATGTTGTGGGTTTACTCTCCAACACACCGGTGTGATGTGCTAGTAACGAATTGGCATGTTTTGTTTGTGACAAACCTTACTAATTGGCTGTGTCGGGTGATGGTGGGTTTAACGACACATTTATGCGATCTAATACACAAACAACCTCTATTAAGGGTTACAGTACAGTGTTTGGGAGTGAATACAATCGATTCTGAGCTGACGACGCATACCAAGCTTGCGTCTAGTTGGGACATGTGCGTGCTGGTGTGAGCATACCACAACGTAAACACAAATAGTTGTAAAGTTCAGATTTAGAAATGATGGCCGTGTGTGCCGATTCTCGTTTCTCTACGCTACCACTGTTGACTTGCTGTACGTACTGTTGCTGCTGCATGCATGCCCTGGGTATAGCTGTTGAATTGATTTCTTAGACGTAACCTTTCCTCCACTGCATGGTCCTTTTCATGAGATCACTGCGTAGATCTTTCTCACCAGTGTTGCCGTAAATGACCCATTAGCTCGACTGGTCACATGTTTGAAGTTAATCACCAGTTCAGCCCAGCCTTTATTGTATATCATCATGGGATTGGCCTACAGTAAGTCAATCCTGGGGGTACATTTTCAATAATGGTTTTAATGCTTCCACGTATCCACGTAACACAAAGCAGACCTGCTGCTGAGCAGTATATGGTATCTCCTTTGAAGCGTTTTTTGTTGTTCATGGCACCAAGTGAAGATGTTGCGTTACCATGGGAATGCACATTAATTTCTGTTGCTACCCATCGTTGGTTCCATGGTGACTGGGCTTCCGCATCTCGACGGCGAATTATCATTTGTACACCTACATTTTTATTAATTTCTTAGTAATATAAATTGCACTACGTAACTAATATATACCCAAACCGCCCTAAAATAAAACAACATTTTTTTTATTTTTCAGGAATTGACCCTCTTTAATAGCACACAAATAAGGACCAGTGGGCCAAAACATCACCTAATTTCTTTCCCTTTTAAGGCCAGTTTTGACGAATGTGTTGAGGATTTTCTTGCTTCTGCTACAATGCCACTACGTTATCACCAAATTATTAGTTCAATTTACACCGAGTAGAATACATTAAGTGGAATAACCCTGAGTGTATACGAGAAGCAGTTCAGTTGGTGATGCTTTTGAAAGGCTTCTCACCGTGTATGGATAATATGGATTTGTATTCTTAGGTTTTTTCGGTAAAGTCACGTAGGTAAAACATTAAAATGAATCATTTACTTGATACAGCTGTCGTGGCTGTGACGGTTCCACCTGAAGACGGAAGCTTGTGTTGCCTCCGAAACGTGATTTTTATTTTATTTAACTTTTATTAATTTTAATGTTTTACCTACGTGACTTTACCGAAAAAACCTAAGAATATGAATCCTTGCAGTCACGAAAGCTTCAAATATAGAATATGGATTTGCCATGAACAGAGGACTACAATACTCACAAAGCATGTAATATAATTTAACCGTGAAGTGCTCTGGAAATGTAATACGTCTACACGGTCCATTTAAAAGGCAGCATGTTACATTGCTGTGATCTCGACGCCAGCAATTTAGGTGTTCATCGGTAATCACTGTGATAAGCCACGTGCTAGCTGCTAGTATGACACACCTTTGTGGTGTAAAGAACGTCAGCGTTTTGATCTGGTGCCCCGAAGTTTAATGGTTGTACGCCACAAAAAAGAACCGGGTGATGCACAGGAATTGACTCATTCACACTTCATTAGAGTACTCTGTGTACTAGAGCGACAATCGTCATCACAATCGCGTACACTGCGGCGTTATCACACAGCGCGTGTCTCGTAGCACTTCGCAGCTCGCGTGTACTTGATCCCACAGTGCCACACAAAAACCACTGGCCGACCCAGTGCGCATCCCGTGTTTTCAATTCACCCCTTTCTACAGAAAATCCATAGGCACGAGATTCAAACAAATAGACGCTTCGCACTCTGATTAATGGGCGCGCTACCGTCGCGAAAGTGGCACGCGACCCGGATGATTTGGGATTCGCAGCCGCGCTCGAGTTTGGGGGGATGGGTGCGATGCGGGCCTGGACCACGGTCCCCACCGCTGCCATTCCGGCTGCCCTCACGGGGCATCCTTTTGCTTGTGGGGCAGTCGTCCTTCCCTCCGCTTCGCGTGCTGTGTGCCGACCTTGCGCGCGATATCCATCGCGGCGCGGTCGATTTGGGCGTAGTTCACCGGGGAGCCTACTGGGGTGGGAGCAGACACGTGGCATTCGAGGAATGGGAGCAGATGGCAGGAGACATTTCAGACGGTTTTGTGCAATTACATTACGAATGTACGCAGTGCGTGTGTCAATATTACATTTTAATGTGCCACATTCCTTTTTAGTGTGTTCAGTGTCACATCCGAGGCTTGGTTTGTAAGTGGCAACTAAGTAGAGGTGTTATGAAAAGGCTGGATATTTATTATTAAACTGATTAAGTGGGGTTTTTTTTTTACAAAAGATAACAAATATTTCTTAATTCTTTCGGTAAAGTCACGTAAAAGGGAAATAATAAAGTAATACGAAATAAACCAATTAAATAAATAAATAATTCTCGCGACGTTTCGGCCACAACACATGCAGCCGTCTTTATAAACGTGTGTTGTGGCCGAAACGTCGTGAGAATTTTTTTAATTTTATTATGTTTTATTTTTATTATTTTATTATTTCCCTTTTACGTGACTTTACCGAAAGAACCAAGAAGATGAATCCCTGCAGTCACGAAAGCTTTAAATCGAAAAATATTTCTTACTCTTACAGCCTTGGTTATAGGGTATCTCCTTACATGATTTCTCTTCCGATTTTTAGGGTGCCATTCTCTCAATGCAAACTCATTGTAGCGATCCATCATTATTTTAATAAATGGCTTTGATAATTGCTGCATATTTTTCTAATAACGCCTTTGCTTTGCTGATAGCTTCAGTTTCCCATGAATCACGTGTATTTGCATTGTTTATAAACGTCAGGAATATTAGTGCATGAACTGTGTTTGGTACTCGTGTGTATTTTCTAGAGTTTGGTTGAGAGTATGCCTGTGGTCATTGTGAGATATGTATGCAAGGTTGGCAGATCACTGAAAAATGTCGCGGGCTCTTCAATGTGTATTGAAAAAAAAACAAGCAGAGCATTAGCTTGGAATATTATTGGAAAATGACATTAATTACAGAACAATTGCTCTCAAAGAACCACGCTGAAGCATTACACCTGGCGCTAATTTAGCATCACATTGGATGCAGGTGTGACTTGCCTTTTGCTCCACCAAACTGACTCGGCTGAATCCTATTTACTCGGAGTGTAAATCGGATCGATCATAAATCAGAAACAGCTCTATACCTGCCTCATCTGATCTGGCGGTTCAGGAGATCAGCTGAGCATATTGCTGCAATTGGTATTGATTCGAAATGAAAATCAGATTGTAACAACATTGCTACATTTAATTGGCTAATTTATATTATTTTACATGCAGAGAACCGGTAAAAATAACACGATACATTCCGCAACTGTCGTGCGTAAATACGATGTAATCACACCGCATTTAAAGCAAACTGACATAAATACGTTGTAAATAAGTAACACTAAATAATAATCAGCGGTCAACATAAAATACAATTCCTATGCATATCGTGTCTGGATATAACAGCATCTGAACACACTGAACAGAAACAGCCATAATTTATGTTCGAGTGACTTGGACAAAGGGCAGGGGAGTCTGCCGTACGATGTTTTTGCGAGCAGCATCGAAATAAGCGACTTCCAACTGAGCGGAGGGTGAATGGGGATTGGCTTTGTTTGGAATTGGATTTCGATACAATTCGGGCCGTGTGATCGTACAACATTAAAAGAAAAACCTGAATCGCACAACCCTATTTCCTATTTAGCTTCTGAGGTTTCGTGAATCGTAATGACGTAGCGCTCTAAGGTGCGACATACTGTGCTGTTTACAAACACGAAGATTCCATTGGGACGTTTTTATTTTGACTGGTGCGAGCCTTGTCAATGGAGTTTGAAGCAGAAGGATTTTAAATGTACTATTATTTTACCAGACAAATTACAAAACAGATTATCAAGTACATTCATTTTACATCATGGGACCTCCTTTGCCAGTACCAGAATATGAGAGTAGGTTTTCCCCTTTTTTCTGCAACAAAACAGGTGTTGCGATCTTCTTGGTTCTTTCGGTAAAGTCACGTAGAAGGGAAGTAATAAAATAATAAAAATATGTTTTATTTTTATTTTTATTATTTTATTACTTCCCTTCTACGTGACTTTACCGAAAGAACCAAGAAGATGAATCCCTGCAGTCACGAAAGCTTTAAATCGAGGTGTTGAGATGTTAAAACACAAAACTGAAACCTTTTACAAGGAATCATGTCTGCATTAACCACAATACTTGTGGTCAGAATGCAAAAAAAACGTACTCTGATAATACATGCATTGTCTTTGAAACTGATTGGTCCACACCAGAGACAGCTTTCTTTCGAGCCTAGTCTCAAACGCCAAAAGGCGTCCTCTGGTCTAACACCGTTCATTGTCCACATCTCTGGTGTGAACAATGCATATATTATCAGAGTATGTTTTTGTTTACATTCTGACCACAAGTATTGTGGTTAATGCAGACATGATCCTTGTACAAGGTTTCAGTTTGGTGTTTTAACATCTTAACACCTCTTTTGTTGCCAGAAAAAAGGGGAAAACGTATTCTCATACATTCATTTTATTCATAAATTGAATTACAATACTGTATTTTAAAGCATTTTAAATATAGCTAAATAAGCAACTGTTATTATGCTAACATGACGACTATTGGGGGAATAAAACACGTACCAATCATTAGTTCAGACAAATTATCATTTTAACAACAAACTCTTTGGTATGTTGATTTAAAACACACATTTTATATGGAAACAATTTAAGCATTATCTTAGATTCTAGAAATATCTCAAAATCTGGCTCCAGCACGAGCACATCAATGCCGTACATTGTGTCTCTCTCAGCAGCTGTTTACCATACGTAGCTCGGCTTAGGAGACCGCAACTGTCTGCATTTATCAATTATCATTGTGCTGCTGGTGTAAACTGGTGTTATTGTAAATGCGCATAAACACGCTTTAGAGTTCAGCAGCTGTTCCAGTTCTGTTTAACGAAGCATACACAGTGGTGTGATTGTCTTCCCACTTTCAAAATACGCTTTTGCGAACAATTGTGACAGAAACACATTTTCATTTGTTTCAGACGTGGTGCATTATAAAAAAAATGGCTTTCACATTGGGTCATCCAGATGCCAGCATTTTATACATATATTTAAGTTAAATTAAACATTACCGCAGTACAGTGTGCATGTTATGTCGAGTCTCATTGACTATTGTTATTTTGTCTAGCAATTTTCCAAACGAATATAAATGCTGCCAAAACCCAGTGGATTTGAAAAACCAGAGGTCGCCAGTTAGATCTCCTGGTGTAGCAGTTGAAGCGGTGTTTCTTAAATCCCCTGTCTGTGTTCATCCAGCAGTATTAAAAAAGGTACACCACGGTTAGTCCATCGACAGGTCACGTATGAGAGGGATGGAGTGAGTGCCGGATGAAGCTAGTGCGGGGCCTGTAGCATATGTTATAAAGGGGCCCTAAAAAAAAACATAAATATTCAAACAAATGTTTAACTTGCATAGTAAAGTATTGTTATTTTTTTCATTTGCTATACAGCCAGATAATACGACAAATCGCTAACCTTAAACACCCAGTCGTTCATAAAAGTTGAAGGCAGTATAGTACTATAGTAATGGAGGAAGTGCAGAATCACTGAACTGGAATTGATAGGATAATTGGTTTTTTACCCTTTTATCTGGCAACAAAACTGACACCTTTTTTACAAGGAGTCATGTTTGCATAGACCACAATACCTGCAGTCGTAATGCAAAAAAAACACAACTCTGATAATGTATGCACTGTCCTTGAAGTTGATTGGTCCACACCCGAGACAGCTTTCCTTAGAGCCTAGTCTCACTTGGTGTTGGACCAGATGACGCCAAAAGGCGGTTTTGTTGCCAGATAAAAGGGTAAAATACCAATTATCATATTTTTTCTTCTGGCAAATGAGGTTCTAATGGTGGAATTGATAGCTTGACAGCATTTAGCGCAGGGCCCTTGAAAGTGCGGGGCCCGTAGCACATGCTACTTTTGCTACTAGGATAATCCGGCACTGGATGAGGTATGGGTACTCTCACATCTTCTGAGACGTCCCGCCAGCGTAGAAGAGTGGGCTAAATACCCTCTAGCGGGGCTGTCTAGAGCTCACTCAAGTGAAGGCCTTTCTAACAGCAGTGACAAGAGAAAACACATGCAGGACTGTTACCTTTTGCAGTTGCTTTCATACAAGAAAAAATATAATGCACAGTAATTAGAACTTGGGTTTTTTTGTGGCGAATATGATTCGTAATTTATTTTTGGGTGAGGCCCAAGTAGTGATCTGACCAAATCTGTCATTAAAAACCCTCCAAAACCCGACACAGCCAAACGAATCGGCATGTAGTGAAACAATGTACATCGCAAGATCATTTGTTTGGCTATGTTGAGTGGTGAAGGGTTCTAATGACATAGATTTGGTCAGATGTTTAGGTGGCCTAAACAAATAGTCAATTATTAATCGGTACAATTTAGTATAACTTTTTTTCTAAATTGTAGACCATTAATACTAAATGAGTTTCAGATCTGAAACGATTGTGTCGCAATGTTTACTGCATGACTTTAATGTGTGCTCTACTGAGCCTCATAGCTGCCTCCTCAGTGGGCTCCAGCTGCCGTGAGAAACTGACCCATCCCTTTGCTCAGTTCAGCTTAAAGATCCCCCGCTGCTTGCTTACTGTGCCTGCTTTAACCATGTGGTAGCAGTTTACAAACCATTCTTTCACAAAGTGGAAGTAGTGTTTTCCGCGTGTTGGGTTCGTTCATTCAAAACTCTATATCAGATACAGGACTATGAACAGTACATGTTGATTGCTGTGTCAACGCCCGAGTCACCATCTGCTCTCTTCCACAGTAACACTAAGTTTTCTCTTCAATGGACTTTCACTAATCATTCAAACCTCGTGGGTATCAAAGATGTTGTATATCTGTCCCCCCCAAGTAGAAAATAAAAGTATTTTTTCCACAACCATGACCTTCTGGGAGTGTATTGTTTATTCAACACAAGCAAACTCTGGACCAGCCTTGGCATACAGTATCATTTGCAGGGTCAGATTTGCTTCCACTAATGCTGATTAACTGCAAAATGTTACAGGGCAAGGACTCTTTTCGCAGCGGCTTTTGGCTAACCATCGAACAAAGACGGTCACTGCATTAGATACACTTCTGCGGCCGTCTGAAACGCTCTTCATTCTGATATTAGGAAGCCACTGGAGTTATGCACTTTTAAATCTCGATTGAAAACGTTTGATTGTGTTTCGTTTGTTGTCCTTCCACTGCACCTCCGATTAACACGGCTGGCTACGTACGGTGTGAAACAAGTTCAACATACATACAAGACATGGGTCCTAGGTCAACTTAAAACATTTTATAATAACACAAAATAATCATTCGCGTTATTGTGGAGAATATAAGTAACAAGAGATGTGCAGACATTGCTACATATCTTTGCTGTCATTTACATTGCGATAAGCCAGACCACCCCTCATTTATATATTTATCTTGGCTTGCACACACACATATTCATCTTGCAGCTGAATGGAACATACAACATGGACATTGGATCCCCTTTGTATAACCACAAGGAAAGTGTGACATGCAAGTGGCGTGTTGATTGACTTGCAGTTGAGTACACAACAACGGGGCAGTCGTAAAAAAAACGTCAAAATGTGTTGTTGATAAATACGTGGCTTAGAGGGAGTAACGCCGATGCTAAAGTTGCAATCACTGCTGCCACTATGGTCTCAAACCATCGGCAACACATTGTGTTGAACACGTTCGGAGATTTTTTTCACATATTACAGTTTGGTATGATTGTCGTGAAAGACATAATCATGCAGAGTGAGCAGTCAATAAAAAGTTACAGCCCTGCAAGTACTTGCTCATGCCACTGCAGGCAGACGGGCTTCCAATAGAGGGAGCTCTTGGGAACCAATCTCCGTGTTATTTTGCCCTTTTACTGGTAGGAACCACCTGGTTCCACCAGCCCACAGGGGATTATTGTGTCCATCCGTCCGTCCGTCGTGAATCCAAAAATTGGAGGGGTGGGGCTGGGTGGAGAGGGGAGGGTGGGGAGGGGCTGGGTGGGGGGTGGGAGGGGTGGGGCTGGGTGGGGAGGGGCTCGTCACCCCGTGGTTCCCTTATCAAACTCAACGTTTAACCTATTCACGCCGGCTTGTGCCCGCCCTCACAGTCGGGAATATTTGCGGAATACACCACGCCGCCGTTGACCCTGGCCATTGACCGAGCAACCCAACGTTCCTATCAGCTCCCTCCGCAGGAGGAATGTGTTCTTTACCGCTGGCCACACATCTTGGGAGAGGTAAGGGGCCGTCCACAAATGACGTCACGACGCGAGTTTGGACGATTTTTGACCCCCCCCCCCCCGTCGTCACACGGCGTCACAAAAAGTCAGACCCCCCCCCCCTCAAATATGACGTCACAAAGCTCTGCCCCCCCCCCCCAAAAAAAAATATATAAAACATGCTTCAAATCGCTTTAAACTACTGTCATTGTAGTGCGTATTTAATGTGGCGCTACACTCTGATGTTGTAGGAGAAAACATTTATTTAAAAGTCTACTTAATTAAGTAGAACGTTTTGTCTATATTTATCTAAAGTTGTGCATTTTGACGTGACGTCACATTTCTCAAAACCCAATCCCCTTCGTCACACATCGTCACAAATGTCTGACCCCCCTCCTCCCCCTAGGTGCGTGACGTCATTTATGGACGGCCCCTAAGAGTACCCACACTTTACCCCACCCACACGCGGCCTGCCGATCGACGAACTGCTTGTCTGTGTTTAGTTGTCCTCTTCCCCCCCCAACCCTTAGCACCTCCGATTAACACGGTTGGCGACGTACGGTGCGAAAGAAGTTCAACATACAATCAACTGTGGTGTGCCTATTCATACTGCTGGGTGGATAGTGGTGGTGAGGAGAGGATTTAAGACCCTTTCCCCATTGTTTCAACTGCTGTTTTGACGGTCGGTGACCTCTGGAATTGCAAGTCGAGTGCACAAATGTTCCACCCACCGAATCAATAGCTGATAACAAAGTAAGACAATCGCCTTGTGAAGCTTCCGATGTTCCATATGCAATAAGAAGAGAGAGAGACGCAACTCACCACGAAGGTTCCTGCGGGCTTGCAAGTCCAGCTCCATGTAGTTGAGTTGGTGCCGGCTGGTGGGTGTCTGTGGCATGTTGACGTAAGTGTGGTCCGGTGTGGAAAGTGCGAGGGCAGACACGATGGAGGTGGACTCAGCCGGGCACTCCGCAGGCTCCCTCCTGTCTGAGGTTTGGTGCAGAGGCACGAGAGAACAGGGCAACTGCTCGGTTAGATTTGCTGTGTGCTCAGGAATTGGCAGCAATGCCGACACACCCACAAGTGCCCGCTTTGCTTTGCTCACGAACTGGAAATATGGGCAATTGCGTATTACAGTTAAATTTCACAGGTTAATTTAAACCATTTAATACTATATATGTATCTCCCTTCGTTTCTGTATTAGTGTCTATGTAAATGGACATTGCCAAACAAATAAGGCAAATTGAATCATATGAACTGTACAGAAATTTACGACAATTTCATAGTCCGTAACAAAAAATGAGGTGGTTGTTTTTAGACTTGCACGTAGCCACACATTTTATCAGCTCATTCACCGAGAGGATCAAGATGAGAAAATTACAAATGCTTGTGTAGCCTCAGACTCTTGTGATTTAGCTTTGTTGTTCATCCTTTTATGTTTTGGCAATGAAGCACTCACAATAATTGGGGCTTTAGAGTACTCATTTATTTTAAAAAATGTAACAAGACAATCACGCTCAGTGGTGGTGCTATGCACAAGCTAACTAAGCAAACATGTTGGGCCACAAGTAGCTCAAGGGGTACTGGATTAATTTAAAAATAAATCGGGGTGAAACAAATCTCAGCTGAAATATAAATCCGAATAAACATAAAAATCGCATTCATCTTTTTCATTCTAGCCTCTTGTCTACATCCATCTCATCCCACTCCACAGCTACCCCTTGTCTATATTATCTCCTGTGCTCTTTCTAGGGGGATATACAGTGCATTCAAACGAGGGGGCCCTGTAAAGCAATGTCACCAGTGTATTATTTGTCACTGTAAGATCTGCAAGGATCACGAGCAAAGCTGACACGCTGCTCTGTGTCCATGGCTCTGATTTGACAAAGCTGAAGTCGGATCTCAGACGATGAAACATATCCATAATAGGTTTTTTTGGGTTATATCGCGTAAATATATAAATGTGTCGTTAAACCCGCCACCACCCGACACAGCCAACTAGTAAGGGTTGTCACGTAAACAGAACGTGCCAATTCGTCACTAGGTACAGCACACCGGTGTGTTGGAGAGTCAAGCCATAACATTTACAATCTGAATACGACGTTTCGCCAGTAATTACAACTAGCTTCATCAGGCGACAGCCAAATTTGTGGAGAAGTCTAACCGTTTCGTTCCTTATATAGAAGCGTAGATATGACCACGCTTCTGCGCTCTTGCGCCACGTGTGGGGGCGGGGGAAGATTACTGAGTCAAAGTACATTATGCATGTGCATTATGCGAGCCGTTTGATCTTGTCCTTCCTGTCTATTGTATTTATGAAAAATAGCCGTACTAATGGTAATCCCTATTGAAGTATGCTGCCCTTTAAAGGCATGCATTTAAATAATGTATTATTTGATGATTCGCTTCCACGCAGCACTAAGGCGGTAGCTATCCGAACGGTTAAAATTATTCTTATTTCTTTCAATTTCGACATTCTCTAATTAGTCTTGGCCAGTAGCTAGTTTTACACAGAACTTCAACATTACCAAAATCAATTGAGTGTCCTTGTTGGCACGCGTGTTCTTCTACTGCTGACAGTTGTATTTGGGAGAATTGAATACTTCTCTGATGTTCTTTTAGTCTCGTGTTGATCATTTGTCCTGTTTGCCCAACATAACATGAAATATATCTTGAAGAGCGACACTACTGAAACTATTTCTAAAAAAAACAACATAAAAATTATGCTGTAGAAATGTAAAATAACTCCAGAATCAAAAGGAGTGCTTCTTTCAACGACGGTGAGGAAATGTGTGACGCCTATAGCTGTCTTATAAATATGCAATACATCAATGCGCTGCTTGCGACTTTGCAGGATTAATGTGAACAATATCGCTCAGCCAGCAGAAGTACGGCTGCCAGAAATGACAGTGTTAGGACAGCGGATATCATATGTTTTACTCTCACTTTCAATTATTTACATAAATACAATTTCCCAACCCTCGAGGCTCAGGAGACATTATGTTGTGTGTGTATATATATAAAGCTTGATTACCAATGCAGTTACTTTTTACATTAAATCGAGTTTCAGGGTTACCTTTGGCATATTCCCTTTTTGTAGAAACGGCGCTTTATTAATTAAACTTAATATAAAATCTAATGGTGCATGCATGTATGCATACGGCTACACTTGAACTGCTACATCAAAGCTGTATTCTGTGTGCGGTGTGGGGCATGCTTTTGACCAATGCACACTCCAATAAACGCCTTTAGTAATTTGCAGCATGGCTGAAGCCTCAGTTGACATACTTAAACGGATTAACCTTGGGCAGTTACTGAAGCAGCAACCAGATATAGAAGTGTTTTAAAGTTTAATTCAAATTCGTTTGCTTGACACTGCCTCAGCGGTCTAAATCCCATCACGAACTCCTTTTCTTTGCACTCTCTGCCTCTTGCACATATGTTGGGGAGTGGCAGTGGAAACCCAATATAGACCTCACCTCTCCAGCACGAAATCAATATACAGCTATCCTGACACCTGACCCCCCCCCCCCTCTCTATCACATTCAATGCCACATAGACCTCCTCCCCTTGGCCTCTCTCACTCCCCCCCCCCAAAGGTGCTTTAGCTCCCATCAACAAACAGCCCCGTCATTCGCCTCTTTTAGGTGACGGCGATGTCACCACGCCACTTTGTGCCGGAACTTGGTGCACTTTGAGGGCCACGTGAAGTGTCGAAGGCTCCTCGCTGGCCAGAGGTCACGTGGGTGGACACAGGTATTGTGGGTTATGTGACTGAGGGTTAGCTGACAAACTGGAAAACTGTACTCAGTCTGCTCCCATCAAACGCCGATACGCACACACAGCAAGAGTAGGGTTTCGCTTCTGAGGTATAATCAAGGCGCAAATAATAGCCATTTTCTATACTTTTTAGGCATAAGCAATTAGGAAATAACACTTGCTACCCAAAAACAAAAACTGTTACATAGTGTAATCCATCATTACACAACTGGCTTTTTTTAATGGCCTGAAAATTATAATTTTTCCAGGACAACTTCCTTTAAAACAGTCAAATAACCCTCTTACCCTGCTCGATGCAGCTGATGCTGCGCAGGATGGCCCCTCTGGGTTGGCAAGGAGCGGCAAAGGGTGCCATGGGTTCATAGCAAGTCTGCCTCTTGCCTGGGACGGACGACTCCGCTGCCGCTAGGAGGCGACAAAGCACGCGCTGCATCGAGTCTCCAGTGCTGCACGTTCTGGCGTTACTACACTGTACTCTTAGTGTTTTTCGGTAAAGTCACGTAGGTAAAAAAAATGAAATTAAAATTAATAAAAATAAAATAATAATAATTAAATCTAAAAAACATTTTTTACCTACGTGACTTTACCGAAAAAAACTAAGAGTATGAATCCTTGCAGGTCACGAAAGCTTCAAATCTAGAAGTTACTCCACGTGCCAGCTCGCTGGCAAATGCTACCAATGTCCAACCGTGGGCAGAAGGCGTAGCGTATACATACTGTCTGTCGCACAAAGACACACTTTCCATTTATATTCATATTTCACGGATGTTTAATATCACATTCATTTACTTTTCTTTTCAAAATCATGTTTTATATCGAACATGACATTTCTGTATGACGTTTTATTTTTTATATATGCTAATCATTCACGTTAATCTTGATATCATGCACATTTATGATCTGGAGATGAAATGCCACGAAAAAATATATTTTTGCCAGCATTTGCAGAGCCGTACTGCGAATCGGGGCGACTGCCCCAGGCCCTGCAACCTAGGGGGGCCCAGCCTTTCGACGTCACGATGTCAGATGTAATACTTCCAATTTATAACAATAGGTTTTACCCTTTCTGGCAATAAAACAGGCGTTGAAATGTTAAAACACCAAACATCATTCTTTTTTCAAGAAATCCTGTCTGCATTAATCACACGTACTTGTGGTGAATATGAAGACAAACATGCTCTGATCATATACTATTGATGTGTCTTGTCATATACGGTACAGTATAGTACTGTATATATGCTTAAAACACCATACAGTACAATGTCACATACCCGATGTTTTGGGGACCGAGGTGCATAGGTGGATATGTGATAAGGTGGGATTTGTGAACATCTGCATGTTACAACATTAAAGCTACACGCTGCACAAATACAGCACCCAGGGGGTGAGCAGGTAATGGGTCAGGGTGGATACGTGACGGTCGGATATATGACGTACGCGGTACGGACATTGTGCAGTGCAACATATGCATATCTATGGGTCAGACTACCAATGGCGAGGCCTTCATCCAGCCATGGATTGTTTCTATATCACCTTTATGTCTGCTCACAGAGGCACCAGGCACCTTGCTGCCTGTGATTTCTTGAAGCGTGAAGAGCACTTGTTCCTGTGTATAACAAGCGTGAACAGAGACACAGACCAGTACTGCAAACCAGAGGGCACGTTTCACAAGCCAGCAGTGATTTATTTTAGATCATAGCCTATTACGTGCACATTTTAGTGAAGCAATCAAGAAAACAATTACTGTATTCCAAGTATTACAGTTTGTCTTTATTAAAATGTGATAATGGCTTTGAAGTTACAACTGAAGCATTAGCAATCGTTAAATTATGTACAGTTTTAGGGCTTTGGTGGTGCAACCTTTGAAAATAAAAATTATATGACCCTAATTAGAAACTTTGTAAAAGGTGTAAATTTTTTCCTGTTAATGGAAAAGTAGGACTTTATAAAAAAAAAAAAAAGATCTTGTCTATACTGAACCACACAAATTAAGGCATTTTTCCTCCCATAAATATGAATACAATATAATAACCATCAAGAACAAATAGCTAACGTCTGATCGTAAAATATTTGATGTGCATTGAAATCACCATCAGTATCAGCCACTGTCTGGCTACGGGTGGGTGAATTTATCTTTCGCATGTCAATGCCATCCCTCATGGCCCGCGAAATATTGTATACCGAGGCCGAGAGTAACGCATTAGTTGGGCAAAAATGGGATCATATCAAATTCCAATATGAACTAATGGTAAACCTTTTGTTTATCAAAACATTTACTTATTTTGAATGTGGTAACCGTAGTCCTAATATTAAAGACAGGACTGTTCAAGGTTATGCACGAGAATCTGTACTTGGATACTTAGAGGCTAATCAGAGCAGGAAAATGTGTCTCCAAGCAGAGTCCTTTGCGCATTATGCCATGAACTGCACATTTTTGTATTCTGCTCGTTTTGGCCACATCATACGTAACATCACAGATACTGTCAGACACGTGACGCAGCAATTTCTGTGAATGCACATTTTCAGATGTTGTTACTCTTATCTTGGGTATATAACTTTATTTTTCAAATGAAAACATTTCAAAATTTATGTTGGTTGGATGTAAACAAATGATGTCAGATCGAAAGCTCTTATAATATTATATTTGGGACCTTTTTTCCACTTATTCATGCCTATACAATGTTGATGTTTTATCATTTTGGGCAGAGAAAGGTTAACCCTAACCGTAAGCTGCCTACATACTTTATTAACATCTTATAAGTTGTCCTGTATTGGCAGTTTTCATGCTAACGTTAGTCAAGCGGGTTTTCCATACACCTACTTGCAAGGTAACACAAAGAAGCATAGCAGCTTAAAAGGGACAATATACATGTTTTCTTATAATGCTTTGTTGTTTACAAGAGAACTACGTAACTATATCACCGATGTAATGAAGACGTATATATAATTTAGGCTGAACAAGGAATTCACTTGAATTCCGTTTCATGTTACGTTAGGCCAAAATGATAAAAGTTCATGTGCTACTCTGCTTAATGCATCAATTTCAAGTCAGGAAAAATGTCAGAACATTGTACGAAACCCCAAGGCGATAACTCTGCCCATATGTTCAGATGGCACATAGCCCTAATTTGTCTTAACATTAAGCTAGATTATATCAAGACTCAAAAGAAAGAGCTAATGATCTATAACTTTTTTATTTGTCTTAATCTTTCACCCAATGTGAAGCCAGTGGAGGTAAATGAAGGCATTGATTTACAGGCACAACTTTTATTTATTTATTTATTGAAAACCTTTTTTTGGTGCAATTTATTAATTTGTTTATTAATTTTGCTTGGTAGTAGTAGGGTTTTCATTTGCTTGATACATGCGTGTGTTGGGCTTCTTTCGCGCCGTAAGTAGCAAACCGCGTATATGGGATTTGGGCCTTATATGTAATTAATGTACAGCATGGTGTGAGTCTGTTGGCATGAATGACGCTATATAAAATGAAAGCATAATTATTAGTATTACGTTATTTAAAATTTACGTAATATAGCATATATAAAATTAGTATTGACATTTATTGCATAGGTATTATATTTCATTGGCTAATTATTTAGACCGGTTATTGCATGTTACTTCAATAACCAGCATAGCAAGAGGGCGCATTGAAATTCGGGGGAAAGCTTAGAATAACAAATGATCTGAAACCACAAAACACCCATTCAGAAGGAGGAGAGATGTGAACATAGATGCAAAACAAAACATTTCAGACGAATAACTGTAAAACAATTAGGATTTAAAAATGGAAAATAAATTGGAGATCAAATCACTAAAATGATTGCAGACGTCGTCGAAAGCAATGGGTTACGAACGCAGCAATACGGGGGACTGATGAGTGGCAATTCATGAACAGTCGCCCTTAGGGAGACAGATGGAGCCATACCACAAGATGGTAGAATAATGTTGTATGCATGTATATATGTTGGACTTCTTTCGCACCATACGTAACCAACCGTACGACAAAATAATCATAATTGCCAGGCATCAAATCATTTATCAGATGAAGATATCACACTTGAAGATATAAACACTGTTCTTAACAGTATGAATAAAGGAAACAAACTCCTCATTCTAATCGTGTAACTCTGGACATCATCAACTAAGTGGGACAAGTTGTTAGAAAATAAGTGAATTTATTTATTACATGTTTAGACAAATGAAATACCTCAATCAGAGAATGATGCCTAGATCATTATTATATTTAAATATATAATGAATCTTAGTTAACTTATTTGGCATTGCATTACATTGAACACTTTTTCGTTCGTAATTTTACTTTTCCATATTATTCGCAAAGTCTCTCCGAGAAAAACAAAAAACAATCTCAAATGTTTCTAGCCTTCGGATGGTTTCCATTGCCATGTCCAAGTCTCACACTGATTACAGTGCTATCGACTGCACAACGCATTCGACCAATCTATAGGCAGCTTGGAACGTTTATCTACACTTCTGTGACATTTCGTCTGCCACACACTCACTCGTTGTTTTATTACCTGTGGCAGGGAATAAAACAATAATAATTAGGGACGCCACGGTGGCAATATGTTAACTACCTCGCCTGGTATACAGGAGGTCGTGGCTTCGTTCCCGACCCTGACACCTGCTGTATATTTGGAATTTGCGTGTTTCTCTCTCTGTGGTCACGTGTATCTCTCTCCGGATTCTCTGTTTTTTCCCTACACATTTAGAAACACTCGTTTAGAGTATTTGACTGCTGTAAATTTCCACGTGATAAGCCACTTCGTTGAGCTATCATTTGTGGCCAGGTCACTTCTGAAAAATAACTATATAGCTCAGTGGGCTTTACCTGGTAAAATAAAATAAAATTGACAATCTAAAAATAGAAATAAGTGCGCACAAGGTACTTAAATTCTGACAATATATAAATTAGCTTTAAAAAGATACATGCGACTAACGTTGTATTCTGAAAGGTTTCCAAAAATAATTGTAAAAATATTTCATTGTCGAGACTATGAGTAGTACATAGTGTGTACAGTGCTTGAATGCAATGCAAATGTAACAATTGTAAATGTTGTGGCTTTGCTCTCCAACACACCGGTGTGCTGTACTAGTAACCAATTGGAATGTTTTGTTTACGTGACAAACCTTACTAATTGGTTGTGTCAGGTGGTGACGGGTTTAACGACACACATTTATATACTTATGCAATCTAACCCAAAAAGCTGTATTAAAAATTTAAAAGTATTGGCCACGTAAATATTTCAAACGGTAATATTACCAGCCAAAATTACATTTTCCAAGTATTTTTTTTGTATTAATGTTAATGGATCTTAAAATGAGACATCTATATATATATAACAAAATGAAGCACATGACGAATCTTTACATTAAAATGTTGGTCACATAAAATATCCAATTTCATATTGGCTGGACAAAATTACAATAACATGAAACACAATTTAATTATCACATGTTCAGGCTCTATACACATGCACCCTTTCATGAGTGCATGAGGCAAGTCGCTGGGTGTGATATTGATTGTAAAAATGCGTACTGTCTCAGACTTAAAACAGTAACTAAACGCTGACAACAAACATAGTTGTCAAAGTCAGATGCAAGGCAACAAAGAAATAACTGTGATTTTGTTCAACACGTAGGCTTTCGCGACCAATTTTCATAATAAAGTTTTTTTTATTGGGTTCAGGTGATGACTTCGTTCTGCTCTATTTAAGACCAGAAGCTGGTGGATTTCTTCACCTTTCAGGCAAATCGCCCGATGATGCTGGATGTAATTTCTTATATCTGGATGTAATTACCAGTGAAACGTCGGACTCAAATTGTAAATGTTGTGGATTTACTCTCCAACACACTGGTGGTTTGAAGTAGTAACTATTTGGCGTTTTGTTTACGTTACAAATCCCTTACTAATTGGCTGTGTCGGGTGGTGGATGGCTTCGACACATTTATACCTACGCGATCTCACCCAAAAACCTTTATTATATATTTTAAAAAATAACAACTGTTATCCTTGTACATCTGTAACTATGGTCTGTGTTTCGGGCTTTCTGAAATAATTAAAAATCTTCGTAAAAAAAATAAGAATTTTAATTCACCCTCAAGTGCATTGTAATGACATCACTGCAGGACCGATTAAAGTTATTTCTCTTGCTTTTCATAACATCACTGCAGTAATGTCATGATTACTGATGCCTTTGAAAATGAGCATGGCAGTGATTTCACGAGAATGCACTTGCGATTTAAAAGTATATTGCCTTGGCAATGAGGGTTCAAACACATGCCAGACAGTCCAGGACACACAGCTTCGGTAAGAACTACAATAGCATTTTTTTCTGGGTTGCCTTTTATTTTCTATCGTCTAAGTATACATGCATAAAACAGCATTCAGAAGTATTTACGACATAACGTGACATCATAGGAATCTTACGTGGCGTTTGTAGCTGTAAGCAACGGTGATGGTTCTATTTTTCCAATGACTCACCCCACATGCCGAGTTTGGAATCACGTCTTGTTCCAATGACTCACCCCACAATTCTCTACGTTAGCAGTGGTGCCCTTAAAAATGCTCCGCCTGGTCCCCGCCCCCCCCCATCTTCCCCACCATCCCAACACCACCCAACCCCTTCCGCGGTCATTATTACAATATTAATTACACATTTAGGTAAGCTTTAAATCTTGGTGATTACCGACTCGGGAAGTGACATGGCCCTGACCCCAGCGTCGGCACTCTTTGATCGTCGGTGTCTGCCACCCTTGTGCTGAGCACCGTGCCATCGATCTGCGCTCACGACAGGCAAGAAAGAGGCACCCCCCCCCCCCACCCATTAACCTCGCAAGCTGCGGGTCACGCAAAGGGGGGTGGTGGTGAGGGGGGCTCCGTGCTCGCCACTGCTGCCCCCTACCTACGCCTTGCCCGCCGCCCGTGCGTGAGACGCAGCAGAGCTGCGAATCTGGAAATTAACAACAGCAACAATAACAACACACCCCACGCACGTGCCAAGAAGCAAGTAAATATTCAACGCGCATACGGACGTATCGGCGGTACACCGGTGCAGCATAATACACCGGTTTCTCATAAAACAGTCTCAGATCAAAATGTGAACTGATATTCGTCTTCCGACTTGCTTCGACATCACGAGAACGGATTTTGACGCGCCGCCATCACCACTACCGCGAGATTTTCTGACCGGGGTTGCGAATCACGGGAAAATAAATCATTATTGTGAAAAATTTGCTTTTCTTTTATATATATGTACCAGCTCACCACCGGTGTACCGCCACATACATTTGGATATAGACATGCTCTACCCCCACCCACACCCAATCCGTCACAATACGTCGTTGCTCGAAAGTTTATCACGAGCAATGTTTCTGTCGGTGATACAATTTTCGGCACGTTGTAATCTCCGCTGCCGCCGCTGTTGATTGCACGAGGACAGGCTCAGAAACAAAGGGTTGTTCATCTTCCTCGCTTTGTTTTTTCCCCACCCATTGGTGACATATTTGAAGAGGTGGCTACTCTATTCAAATTGCCAATGAGGCACAATGAGTCAATACAGAAATTAGACGCTGAATCGATGATGTGTGTTTATATTACACTGGCGGGAAGTGCCCGGCGTTGCCCATGGGAAAAATATCTTTCAAAACTTCTCTTAAAAACATAACATATACATACACAAATACTAAGCTATTGTGAAAGCCCGGCGTGCCGTTTGTCTGGCCATTTGTCCGTCAACAAAATTATAAGAGGCTTGCAGAAGTCCATAAAGTTATAGAAAGTGGGGGTAAATAGTTGATCTAAAAGGTTTCCGAAAATTGTCGACCCCCCCCCCCTCAAAAAATAGATCTTCAGATGACGGTAGCAACTTTGAACCCCGGTCCCTGTGGGGACCCGGTTTATATGCTCCCGGGTCGTGGCTGGCCCCGCCCTTGGCCACGACCACCTTCCAGAGACCTCCAGTCACCTCTCGACCCTTCCCGTAAGATCTTTCCCCTGACACGTGATCATCCCCTAGCCCCCACCTGGGGGCCCCCATGTAGACTTTACTGGTCACGTGTCCTTCGGGGTCAACTAGAGTGCCATGGCCCACAGTAACCGCGTTCCCATATGGCCTGCACTCTCACACCCTACCCTGTAGTGGTCAGCACTACACGCTGGAGCTTAGGGCTGGTACTAAACCCACATATATGGGGTGTCCGCGATGGCAATACATCGCACGCCGTGCTTCACCAGGGCCGGCATTACCCAGTGACATCCACGATGTCGCTACATACATGATGTCCGTGATGTGAGTACATCGCACGCCATGTCTCTCGAGGGCCGGCACCACTCAGTGACATCCGAGATGTCACTACATCAGTGTCCACTGACTCTATAGTCATTACTACTGACTCTGCAGCCGCATATACTGACTCTACTGGAATATACTGACTGAAGTATTATCTACTGACTATAGTAGTATCTACCAACTCTACGGTAGTATCTTCCGACTCTATAGTAGAATCCACCAACTCTATAACAATAACTACTGACTCTGCAGTAGTATCTAATGACTATAGTAGTATCTACTGACTGTATAGTAGTTTCTACTGACTGTAGCAGTATTTACTGACCGTAGTGGTATCTACTGACTACAGTAGTATCTACCGACTCTGTAGTAGCATCTACCAACTCTAAAGTTGTAACTACTGATGATAGTAGTATCCACTGACTATTATAGTAACTACTACTAGTAACTACTATATAGTAGTAACTACTACAGTCAAAACAGACAAAACACATGGTGAAAGAGACCACCACAACTAAGACTGTTGTTAGTTCGTAGCGAGCAGCAGCACCTATGAAGTATGAACACAGACACCACACACAGACAGACACAACACACACACAGTCACCACACACAGACACCACATAAAGACACCACACACATAGACACCACACACAGACAGACACCACAGTACCTACCAAGGCTGGAACTACACATACACAGACACACACAGACAGCACACACAGACATACACCACACACACTCAGACACCACACAGACACCACACACACAGACGTGGTGAGGCCTAGTCCCGTGCAGAGCCCCCGGCCTCGCCTAGATTGCACAGCCGGCCAAAGTAGCATCTAGCGACTCTATAGTAGTAACTGCACACATTGGGGTTGGGGGGGACATCACACTTTGAAGAATTTACCTCAGCGTTGTGTATTTATTTAGCATTTTTAACGCGAATGAGAATTCCCCTCTCCCCCCACCGATCGCGTGTGCATTGCTGGGGGCAACCACGGCTCGGCTTTGTCGCGCATGCGCAGATGCGTGCTTTGGCGCATGCTCAGTGGAGTAATATAATAACAAAAGGGAATACATTGTTAATGTAACTACTTTAAAGTTGACGGATGCGAAATTTGAATAGTGCTGGCTTATCGCGTGGTACCTGCTAACTTTTTTCTTACGCAAACCCCACGGTTCGCGAGTCAAATCCGTTGCAAGTTTAGTCCACACACAGACAGACACACAGACAGACACACACACAGACAGACATAAAATACTTTTATAGGTAAGATTTATAAAACTGTGAGGGAATGTGAACACAAATGCTGGTATATAATGCCAGGGTGCCTTCTGTAAGAACTATTCAGTTTGGTCCAACTTTCAATGACATTTCGGCTTTGGGGAATTTGACATCCTATTTGTTATATGTATGTATGTTGAACATATTTCGCACCTGTATGTAGCCAAAAGTTCTAAAGAAAGTCAGTTTTCAATCTATATTTAAAAGTGCATAGCCCCGGTGGCTTCCTAATACCGTATGGGAAGGAAGAGCATTCCAGACTGCTGCCGAAGGGCATCTGAAAGGCACGCGATGCCGTAACCATCTTTGTTCGACGGCGAGCCAAAAGGCTCTGTAATGCGAGTGGACAGTCACACTTAATAGGTTATGCCGGGACCAACCGTTTTGCATTATACCGGTGACCCCGAAGGTCAGGAACCACCTCTTAAACATTGCCGCCATCTCCCTGAACGTGGATAACAAACCATACATTTTACATTAGTGCCCTATTCATCATTAGGCAGTAAAAAACAAACCTGTAGGCGCTACCTTGCTGTCGCACATAAGCATCTCCACAGCCAATGCCCATGGGGAGGCAGATGGGAGAGCGGCTTAACTGGAGTGATTATATTAATAATGTATGCTGCTACCAGCAGGCAATAACATAAAAATGTATACTCCTCTTCCAAAGGCGTCTGATTCTGCGAATTTGTATTCGTCTTTTCACTTACCATCCCTGCTCCCTGCGCCTTTTGCGGTGGAAATTACTACTTCGCTCCAGTTTTCTGTCCTTTGAGTCGCATCCCTTTGCAGGACCTGACATCAACAACACAGAGAGTGGAATATCCAGCTCATTTCTTCACTTGTTATGCGTCTGGTAACATAAAAATAATATCTACCAAAAAAAAACCCGTAGCTTTCCTGTAAGAATGTTCTGTGCAGTGTTGAATAATAGAACGGGATAGCGGTGGTGCTATGAACCCAGTAACCTGGGTTTGATGACTGGCCACAGCTAACACGAGTAGTGAGAGATATCTGAACCAATCCCACCTCGTCACCAACCCGCACTGACCAGAGTGTTTAAGAATTCTCAAGACAAACCACATGACCGATACCATGCAGGGTATCCAGTAGTGCAGTAATGGCAATTATGTAATATGGTTCATCAGACAAGTGGTGGTATTGTAAAAGTATTAATTAATCCACATTATGTGCATATATTATTGCATAGGCAGGTTGTGTCTGCTGTGTAACAGTGCTATACAAAATGTTTTACAGAACGTGCACTCTGGCCAACATGAATATCTCTTGAAAACATTGCGTGTCTCTTGGCTGGACCATCCCGACATCCACACACGATGGTGACAGAGCTTTAGCACATTTGCCGCTTATTGCAGAGATTCATGGTTCAAACCCACCAGCCGCCCTGGTTAATATGGTGGGTGTGTTCACAAAAGTATATGTATGGTCTGCTCCACCGTAGTGTTAAAAATGCCGTGAAACTATTCGAAAAAAAGTGTAGGCCGTGTGTTCCGACGTCACGGTCCAAATGGGCTGCTTTTGTAAAAATTACCTGCACATTGATAACTTGGGTAAAACCACATAGAAACATCACCCCCTATTGGAAAATTATACATAACGTAGCACCTTACTTGATAGTCTTCGTCCGATAAGAATAGTGCGGATGTCAAAGGTAGAACATTTATTTCATTTATTTGTATTAAACCTTGACGCAGCCACAGTCGTAGTAGCTGCAAGTCCTTTCTCGTATGTACCACTCCTGCAGTGGTATCTTGTAGCTCTATACCCGTTCATGCAGCTCAAATTGTATCTCGTCTATCTTCAATGTCCATTCCAGGGCCCTCCTTGAGTTAATTTGCCATCGCCAAGACAAACACCGAGGGTGGATGATGTTAGATGAAAGCATAAACAAAAGGAAAATCTTTCTGATAAATAAAAAGGATGTCTCAGCGGGCAATACTTTAATCGGCTTTTCATGCCATAGCTTTAGATTATATAAATGTTCTAAAATAGGAGAATCATCACTGTGACCTCATTATTTACTGTGGGGTGTCTGTAACAGATCCTCACAAACTCAGCATTTAAAACCACTCTTAAGTTTGCTTGACGTATCAGCGAACCATTCAACATAAGGTCAAGTGCCCATGCAAAAGTAAGTGCTAATTAGCGTCTTTATTAGCGCATACGTGTTTCGTGATCAGCGACCGCTTGAGATGAAATGACTGATTTAATTACAAATGTAATAAGCTGTGTATTTGTTATTGCTGTAGCAATCTAAAACTTTGAATATAATTATGTGGGGATAGCTGAACTATGGTGAATGCATCAACGTTCCTGAAATGTATATCTCCCTAGAGAGGAAGACTTAGTCATTATATTCGGGATGAGGATAAAGCCGATGCAATCGGTGATACCGTATTACGTTCAGGGTCGATATTAAGCTTGGCAGAGGTGCAATGAGGAATGACGCTGGTTTTCTGATATTCCCACTAGGTGGCGCCCTTATACTTTTGTAACCACAATGATCGCGATTAGAATGCCGTATTGTGATTAAGAAAATAATTAATCGCAAACACAAATACCCATGTACATGCATTAAATCGTGCGTTACAACAGCGTACAATTACATGGAGCATAACTATACGAGAGAGAAATGTATACATTTGTGGAACAAGATGATTAAAATAAGACAAGCAGCACATTACAGAAATAAAAATAGCTCGATAGCTTTGGGATATCAGTTTGATGAATGGTGCGTTCATTACGAGACTTAAGTTGTGATTTCAGGAAGGTAAAGTTTGTCTCCATTTCTAATAGATACATCTTGCGAAATGTTTGCTTGTGTTGCGATCGAAACGTCGTGATCTATTATCTTTATACCTACGTGACTTTACCGAAAGAACCAAAGAGTATAGATTCCTGTAGTCACAAAAGCTTCAAATAAACACCTCTTCTTATTTTTCATGATTTTGGAAACTGGCAAAAAAAGTCTCAGAAATATAAGTGTTTGACCCGAGCTACAAGTGTTCTGAAACTTGCATTGTCTTTGTGCTGTGCGCCTGCTGGCGTTCTCTGGTTTAAAACTGGTAAGACAATGCCATAAAGAATGCTGTGTCTCTTGTCGGCCATTCAGTTTCAAAGACAATGCATATTTTATCACAGCATGTTTGTTTGCATTTTTTTACACAAGTGTGCGTGGTTAATGCAGACTTAACACCTGTTTTTTTACAGAAAGGGTAAAACCCATTCTTATTTCTCATGAGAGTATGTATTTGCTTTCCAATCCTGGCTTCAGACATGGAGTTGCTCATGTTTTCTGTCTTGAGGTTGCTTGTACTGAATCAATCCTGCTGAAATTATGCACTTTCAGAAGACCGTGTGGGTTATGGGTCGCATCAAAATAATTGTATTTTTTTATGGATGTATATATAGAGAGAAATGTATGTGGAGGCGTATAAGTTACATTTTATATATAGGTTTTCACGAGTAATATTATGATGCATAATGAGTTTAGTTTGGGTTAGATCGTCGGGTAGGTATAATGCCAATTTATCTATAAACCTCCACTACCCGACAGAGCCAATCAAATCAAGTTGTCAGGCGATGGGCAAATATGCCAATGAAACCACATCAATTACATGAATCAGGCGTATTGTTTGCTTATTTATTTTGTTCCCACATACTGTAGTTTAAATTTCAAGTAGCAGTAGCCAAACCTGGCATAGCGAATATAGAATCCATGCAGGATCAGTCCACACCCTCTTTAAATATTTTAGCTGGCCCAGCCTAAATGGGTATTTCCTGTGCTACCGGCGAATGCGTCATATTATGAAAATATAAGTTGCGTTTGCTTGGGCGCCATGGTGGCGAGATGTTAACTACCTCGCCTGGTATACAGGAGGTCGTAGGTTTAATTCCGACCCTGACGCCTGCTGTATAATTGGAGTTGTACACGTTCTCCCCGTGGTCGTGTGGATTTTTATCAGGGTTCTCTGGTCATTCCGGCCACATTTAAAATCAACATGGGTTTCGAGTATTTGACTGCTATACATTTCCACCTGATACGCCACTTCGTTGAGCTATCATTTGTGGCCAGGTCGCTTCTGAAAAAGAGCTATATAGCTCAGTGGGCCTTACCTGTTCAAAATATATATTTTTTAAGTTTAGCAGTTTAAAACCTACACGGTCTTACAGTGGTGGTTTTCTGGCCAATAAAGAAAGAATATTGTGCGGGATCCTCACAAATCGATTTATCATCTTCGAGTAAGAAGACAATATATATAGAGAAGAGATGGAGATGTAGTGGAATGAGAGATATGTAGTGAATATAGAGATGTAGACAGAAGATAGAAGACGTCGTGAGATAAGAAAATACATATAAGCAAGCGACAGCTGCAGTGGAATGAGATCAATTAAGCCAATAGACACATCTTCAATTCGATTAGAGGAGAGAGAGAGAGAGAGACAAGACATAGATGAGAGAGATTAATTATTAGTTCATATTAACTCGCTTGTTGTGTGGATTAGGACTTTAATACCGGCTGATTTTTTGCTTCACCCATCTTTTGTCATCAATCACGGACACCTTGAGTGGTTTGGGACCCCAATCGTTTGCATAGTTTGCTTTTGCTGAACACCTCCAATGTCGAATTGTGTGCAGTACGACTTATACCCAAGGAACGCAGCAACATTTTGCAAATAAGCCTAAAATATTTCTCCGCTCATGATGTTTGTGATACTCTGTAGATTATATACCATATGCTGCATATACAGTACAATCCTCTGTTTTTTTTTACAGTTCTGTTATTAAATAATTGGGTTGTATCACCTTCCCTTAACAGCGAGAAGGAGCCGTAATCAGTCAAAGTGTACAGTAATGTTGAGTGTAAGAACCAATTGGTTGTATCATTAATTAAAGCATATAATCTGTCCATTGAATGAGCTAATGGCGTGTGCCTAATGCAGAGGTAATGGAGCTACACCACAGTATTGGAGTAATGCTAAACAACCAAAAAAACCATTGTGCATTCCAGTTCAAGAAAGGCAAAGTATAGGGTGCAGGGTAGCTGAGTAAAAAGAGAGATGTAAAACTTGTTAGAGAATACAGTACCGGGTGTCTAGCTACGTCGTCGGGAAAAAAAAATATTCTTGTGTAAATCTATCCGTGATTAAAAACATATAAGAAGTGCAGTCAGCCACATATTTAAACAGCTGTTCAGAAATGAAATGAGACAAAGGGTGTCCCTGAAGGAGGAGAAGATAAACATGTTTGGAAAGAAAGTTAATGACGTGGATTACTGTAAGAGCAAAGGAGCCATTGTGGACTTACTGTGAAGGGACATGCATTGATCGACGGTATATATATATCTGGGAAAGTGTGCCAAGATACGTCAGATCAAATAACATCAATGGCATTGTTAAATGATATTGGACATTCGAAAAGTGAGTTATGAAGGATTTCTATGCGCTGAAGTTTACAATGTTTAGTTTATTTTAATACCAAACACAGCTAGACGCTGATGCTCTGTGGCGATGACTTGGGGAGGTCTTCATCTAACAGTGAATGAATCGTGGCTTTTGATGATGATGATGATAGACACTGACATGTACATCAAGCATGATAGCATCTTTGTTAATCAACTGCAGCGTAGTCTGCTATAATGAATAATTTACTACGTCGCAGAACCGTGATGAATGGTTTCTACGCGTTCAGGTTTTGACGAGAAAAGCCCGGAAAGTGGCATCTGTATTCACGTGGCAAGAATTGATTCGTACAGAGATCTGATACTGGTACTGTGCTGAAGTGTACTTCAGTAGAGTGCACAGTGCTGATAGACTAACTCAAAACTATGTACAGGTTTCGCCATGTGGATAAGGTGGCAAACCTCACTGATGATGATGATGTTTAAATTTCGATTTAAAGCTTTCGTGACTGCAGGGATTCATATTCTTGGTTCTTTTGATACAGCCACGTAGAAGGGAAATAATAATTAGCGAAAGAACCAAGATGATGTTTAAATGTGAGTATCAAATGCAATTCATGGTATTTAACGAACACACAGTTGTGTGTGATGTGTAAACTTGCATCACTGAATAGGTTGGTGCCACTGTTTACTTTCGGACTTGAAAATGCGCAGGGGGGAACCAGCTACAATCACCCGTGCACGCCTTACCTCTACTCCTCTGGCAATGTCTAGCCACACTCCCTGGAAATGTCTGCAATGGACATACACGCAAATTTGCCTTTAAAACAGATCACGTGGGATAAGAACACAGCGTACAAGGTGACCAAAATGCAGAACAGTTAATCGGAGTATTATAACATCCGATATTTGAATCGTTGCGAGTAAGCAGGAGGGTTGAATGATTGTGCTATTTCGGTGTGACTGTTGGTGTATTTGTCTTTGTGTATATGCATTGATTTAGCAAGAACCAATAACGGACAATAACAGGATGAAACTGTTCTAAAGTTGACGATTCCAAGCAATAGACACAACCCATAATTTTTATTGCGTATATTTTCAACAACCCCAGAGTGGTTAGACGCAACCCCTTAGCCCAGATGCGATGTGTTAACTAGTCCGTGTAACATTTCCTTCATGAATATTCAATAGGCATTGCTTCCGGCATGGCAGTCGAAACAAATGGCACGAGTTTATTCAATCCCCCCTCGCCTCTGTCCACCCGAGCAGCACAAATGGAAACGTCGCATTTAGTCGATCGGCAGATCACGTGCGGTGAGCTGGCGTGTGGGTCCTCTCACTCCTTCCAGGGCGTGTGCCCGGTGTCAAAGAGTAGACCAAGTACCCCCCCAGGTAGGTATTTGTCCCGAGCTCCCTTTCGTGGAGGTCATTCCACCAGCCGTGGCGTGAGCAAGCAATCGCAGGGCTGCACTTTTACCCTTTTTTTTCACCCACAGGCGACCAACTGCTGGCGAAGCAGAACGTGTTGGTTGATCACTAGGAGCGATTGTTTCGTGATTTCATGAAAAATGGGAAAAAAATGTCCTTGGCGATTAGATTGAGGTAATCAAGATCACTGTGTGCATGTGTGAGAGCATTCTCAAACTAGAAGGGTAGTCGTGTTCAATATTGGCTTGTATGCCCAGGGGCACAACAAACATCTAAACTATATATTTTTTTTAACCAGGTAAGGCCCACTGAGATCTTTTTCAGAAGCGACCTGGCCACAAATGATAGCTCAACGAAGTGGCATATCACGTGGAAATGTAAAGCAGTCAAATACTTTTAACGCAAGTTTCTAAATGTGGAGCTAAAAACCGGAGGACCCGGAGAAAAATCCACACGACCTCAGAAAGAACATGCAAACTCCAAATATACAGACGTCGGGGTCGGGGTCGAACCCACGACCTCCTGTATACTGGGCGAGGTAGTTAACATCTCCTAGTCACCGTGGCAGCCTATCAGCCGTGCTGGCTCGGTCCTAACATGAGCACATTCACTATGAGACACCTAGCCATCTTAAATTCATGAAATGTTAATCCGTTGTCGTGAATAATTGAATACTTAGAACAGTCATATGAAGCACTTTCTAGATTTATAGCACGCACTTTATTGCTTTGTCTCAGTTCACATTTTCCCGAAACAGATATCAATGAATAGCCAATTTCAATTGTGCTGCATTAACAGATGTCAACGATGAGACACATTTAATAAAATATGACGCAAAGTTCGCACGCAGTGGGTGTCGCATCGGAAATCACTAAGATCGTTACACATTCACAGGCTGAACGAATGAATCCATCAGCATTGTGCCTCCGTTGAGAATGCTCGAGTAACTTCTGCTCACATCCCACGTAGCAAACGAAACGGTGTCTCTTCTCAGGTGGAGTGTATTCGCCATCAGGATATGTGTTTGCCTGTGGAGTGTGACGAAGCAATGCCAAAGGCAATAATCGATGCTGGCAGGGTAGAAACTGAAGCTAGGTGGTATTATCAGCTACCTTGTTAAGTAATTACGTGTCTAGCAGGCATTCTAAGCAATTTTCTCTGCTCAGCTTTCTCAAGGTCGACCTGCCTAGACCCTAACTGTAACCCTATTCCCAGTTGTAACTCACCCCCGGGAGGAGATGCATAGGCTCCACACTGTTACTCGGAATTACTCTCATGCTTCGCGTTTAACATCACAGCATGTGCCGACAAAGTTGTCCAGGTTATTTGCTGTTTTTTATGTTTCGTTGAATCTACATTGCAATATATTGTGTTTTAAGTGTGTAAATATTTTAAGTCGGATTTCTGGAATTACTTACATATATATAAAAAGGTATTTTTTAATTAAATGTATGACTATCTTTTCCATGCTAAGTTGGCTATTGCACTTTCATGACGAGTGCTATCTTAAAAGCGTCGTGGAAAGGAAAAAAGCAAAAAAACGCAAATGCAATGCACATTATGAGCTGCGATGCACTTAACTGTTTTAATACAGGACAGGACCAGATTTGTATGAGTAAACTTTACTGGATTTTCGAACAAAGCCATGGATGTACAAGTACCCCATATTATATCGGAGGAAAAATATGAAAGAATGGATACATTTATATCATGGCAGAATGACTTTTTAAAAATAAGATATTTTTTTCAGCAGAACTACATTTCCGAAAGGAAATTAGTTTTGATTACAATAATAATTTCATCAGAAGGACCAATCGTCAACAAGTCTATCTTTTTTAAGCACACAAATAAAAGGAAATTAATACCGGGGGGAAATAATAAGAGAAGAAAAAGTATTAGGCCCTTCATCCATCGAGACCACACAAACAATTTAATTTTTTGCTTCAAGGCGTTGTTTTCATTACGAATATAATACACAGTTCTTTCCCAACGCCGTGCTATGCTATTGATCTGTTTATTACACACAATATCAAAGCACTATTGCCGTGATCCCAAAGAAGCTTCCAAGAGCAATAAAGAAAGAAGATATTAAAAAAAACAATCCACTGATGTATTAAAGCTCCCTTTTGATCTCTGCAACATCAGAAGGTATTTTTGTGAATAATTTAAGGGGGTCACTTCAGCCTTAATTTGCATACTTAGGATATTTTGCAAGAGCATACTCACCAAGTTTGTTGAACAAGGATGAATGAATGGTAGGGTGAACACTGTTTGAAATTACCCCTCAGCGTATATTTTGATTTTCCCAGACATCAAATTGTGCCATACGGCCAATGTATCTTGATTTAGATTTCGGTTGCTGACAGTGATAACCAACCCAACCCTGCAATCGCCTTGACACGAGTAAAACTTGCGCACGGGTGAGCACGCGGTCGGAAAGGTGATGGAGAAAGGTGGGAACACATTTGTGTCTGTCTTTATATCTCATATGCTTGAGTTTTCAGATTTACAACACAAGCTCGAAGTTAACCGAAGGTCATAACCAGCCACACGTTGCATAAAAATGTGGTCTAGCCCACCCCTGTGGCAGGGGAGCGACTGGAGGTGGCCTATTCAAAGCTTCAGCCCCGAGTCAAAAACAGGTTGGTAAAATATTTAACATCAGCCGGTGGGATTTCTTCATCCTTTCCTCATCCAGGTATATTGAGCTACAAGATGGTATCGTTCTACTCATTCTCTTCAGCATTTAAGTCTGCTTTGAAAACCCATCCCTTTAAAGTGGCCTTCCCTCTTTCGTTTGGTCGGTTGCCCTGGTTCTGTTTTTGTTTCGCTGCTTTCCATGCATAGCGCATTGGGATCCTAGTATGGAATGCGCATTATACATTTTAATTATTATGATTTAAATTAGTTTAAAGTTTAACATTATTTGCGTTGTGCCCCCCGCTTGAGTATTTGTATGCCCGCCCCCCCTCTTTAAACTAGGTCTACGCTACGGGGCTTCTCGTACAGTCTGTTCTCCTATAACGCGTGTTGTCATAACGCGGATCTGATGTAACGAGATGAACGTATGAGGGAACACATAAATTTTTTTATAATGCGGGTGCGAATTGGACATAACGCGATTGAGTGAACAGAACTACGTCACGCGAGTGGATTTCAGCGGTTGCACGGCTTCCTCGGTGTGGCATCACGCACAGGGTGGGATGCTGCTGGATGCTTCTAGATGCTACCCCACGCGCCTCAGTATTTGTGCAAGCCTGCACACACATCCTACGTGTTATTGCGGACTGTGCTTTACCCCTACATCATATATTTTTTTATTATTTACGCGATCTTTCCAGAACGCGGTGTTCTGCGGGAACGCAACTGCCGCGTTTTAAAACATTCGCCCAGTTAGGAATTCTAAGAGTGCTGTTCTATAGGATGTCTGTTCTTGTTTAACATTTAACGTTATGCTACACTAATGAAGTTGGACTCTCAAACAACACAGTCAGGGATGAATGTAAATTTGCAGTGCGTATTCGGTGAGTGGGTTCCCACATTCGAACACGTGGAGTTTTACAAAGGTGTGTTTCCAACATTAATTGACTTACTGGAAACCTTTTTAGTATTTTATGTAAACATTGTGACACGCATGTGCCCAACCTAATATATCTCCATAAAATAATAACGTTTGGCCAGAATGCATTCATATTCCTTCAGGGTGCACAGCAACGCTGCCTTTATCTTTAGACCCAGTAACATTTAGGCAGAATAATGCCACTCTTTGTATCCAATTTCAATGCAGGAGATGCATTTGCTGCTGTATCTGCCTTAATAATTTAAGATTTGTGCTTGCATGCCAGAGATTTGCCGCACCTGCTTACCAGATGTGTCTTGGGAAAACCAACGGTTCCCTTATGAACCTGTGCAGGTTCCATTATATGTTTAATACATTGAGCTCGCCTCCTCACTGCAAATAAAGGAATTGTATTGACTGGTGTGATCATGAAAAAAAACCTCTTCAGAAGAAAAAAGAAAATCTGGATTCAAAAAAATACCAGGCACGTAAAAATATGCCACCCTCGGCATTCGACGTATTGCCACAATTGTGGTTGGTTCGTGAAATCGATTCAATATATCGCGCCTCCAGTGTCTGCACGATTTCCGTTACTGCAATATACCTCACGTACTCATAGCACGCACGATTCGATGCCGGCATCGTGAGCATGAGAATTGATGGAAGGTGCGCTCCGTTGTCGCAAGCCAGAAGCGTGCGCTGCGCCGTTCCTTTGTGCTCCTCATGTGGCGATGCCACTCGGTATTGGGACTCTACAGTGGCTTGGATGTCTTGTTGCACTCCGTCGATTTATCAGTTGAAATCAA